AGGTTAAAAAAGTCAATTAATATTTTGAGAATATTTTAGTCGTTCAACATTTAGCATGAACTATTCATGATTTTATAATAATATGGATATAGATAGATAGATAGATATAGATAAATAAATAATCTATACTATATTAAAAGCACGAAGGCCCTTAGCGAAATATCATTCGCTTTTCTTACCCTTTTAAAATGGACTTTACACTGGACAAAATAATAATTTAAATATTTTCCTAATATGTAGAACTTTCAAATCAAATAAAATATTATTTATTAAATCTTTCCTTATTTGAAATATGTAAGACTCATCACTAAAATTTTGGTTATGAAATCTTTCTTTTTAAAATTAGTAGAAAGTTTAATATTTAGATTTTAAAAATAAATATTGTCTGGGAGAACTAGGAATATGTTTTCGTTTCCTTCTATTTTCTTACGGCAATTCCTTTTTTAATATGTTTAGGCATTCATTCTTTTTATAGGTAGTAACTTATAATTTTAAGGGATAGTGAGAGGTTTATACTTAATAAATATTGTAATTATTAAATGTGATTTTTAAAAATTACATAAAAATAATGTAAAGAAAAGTATTGTTTGAATACGAAAGGAGTTCAAAAATTATCTATATTTTTCTCTATTATTATTTATATTATTATAAAAGCATGAATAAAATGTTGGATTACAAAAATAACCTTTTACTATTAAGCATAATAACTCACAGTAGAAGGACATAATCGAAATTCTAAACATTAGCCTTGTAATCTTATTAGTTTTAGGACATAATACTACATGTTAGGAATCTTACTTGACTACCTTTAGCTGATTTATATTAAGATTCATTCTCTTTAGACTTTACACATAATGCAAATCTCTCCTCTTTTCCCTTCCTCTCGCGCTATAAAGAGAGTTGTTCAATGTAAACTTTTCCATTAGGGCATTACCTAATTAGCTCTAGACCCTGAAGCTACTTTCTTTTTCTGAAGTAAAGGCCAGGTATACGTTTTAGCGGAAAATAATTTTCTGAGTAGTGATCAGCATACCAATTACAATTAATCCTGGATCATTTAGGCCTTGACACTGTGTACAAACACCGAAATGCATGTAAAAAGTCTACTTTGAAAGAAAAAATCTAAAGAACAAGGTAACTTCATCAACCATTAGTTTGTAATGCCATGAATGGGCGAAAAAGGATAAATTATAAAAGCATTAATAAAATGTTGGATTACAAAAATAACATTTTAATATTAAGCATGCTAACGCACAGTAAAAGGACATAATCAGAATTCTAGACATTAGCCTTGTAATCCTATTAGTTTTAGGACATAATACTACACGTTAGGAATCCTACATGATTACTTTTAGTACTCCTATTAGTATAATTATTTTCGGGCATATAGATATATAATACTACATGTTAGCATGTAAACCTAATACCTTTAGGAATATGTTAGATTTTCTATTAGTATAATTACTTTCGGGATATGGGCATATTTTTAGCCATGTAATTCTATTGTTTTTAGGATATATTTCTCAAAAAATTCCTATTACTAATTTAATATAAAAATGTATTATACTATCCAAATCCATTTAGAAACAGGAGAGTCTATATTTATTATAAAAAAATGAATATAATATTGATAGACTAAAATAGCCCTAAAATATTAAACAGAAGAACTTATAAGAAAAGGACATAACTGTAATAACTAATTTTTTTGGACTACAATAACTTCTATGCTAATATTTTTAATATTTAAGATTTTAAAATTAATACAATCTTGTCTATTGAATTCTTATTAAAAATATGCACGAAGGTTTAATAAAATAAATTTCATAAGAATCCTCCATATTGACTTTACCACTCTATAATATTCAATACAAAAAAAAAGTAATACTAAACGGACTGCATAAAGCATTAAAATTGAGAAAAAATCCTCACGATAATATATTAATTATATTATATTTAAACCGCATTTCTACTTAAATAATTTTTTTTTATTAGTTTTTCGTGTAATATAGAAAAATATACCCAATTATTAAAGAAAACTAAGAAAATTTTTAAGAACATAAATGTGTGAGAAAAGAAAGAAAAAAATTGATAAAAGCCACTACCACTAATGATTCTGCAAACATAAAGATCTAAAAATGGAATGTCACATCGATCTTTTTACTCTTTGAAAATAAATTTTTTGGTGGATAAAAATATGATTACGGTTAAATATTCAAACATGATATGAACTAATATTAATAATCTTTTTCAACAGAAAATAAATTATATTTTATATTAAAATCAAATAATCAAATCATTCAATTAATTATTTAGTAAGAGAAACTAATTAAATTATTTTTAAAATTTAAAATTGTTTTTCAAGTTATAAAATATATTATGGTACATTAATTTATTTCATAAAAAGAGTGTTAGAGATACAAAAAAATAGATCACAGGGTAAAAAAAGATTACTATAATATTAAGAAGGTCATACAAGTGTTTGAAGAAGCACAATTAAAGCTAAATCCTGGACAAGAATAAGCTTTTAAGATTATATTATAAAAAGTCGACTCTGGTATAGAGAATTATCCTTTGTAGATGCCTCCGGCGGAATCGAAATAATATTCATATGTTATGCATTACTTGCAAATATCAGATCAAGAGACATGATATTGTTAGCAATAAGAACAAGTGGTGTACCAGTAATGATTTTATTATGAGGTCGTACAACTCACTTTAGATTTGATATACCTCTTGAAATAATTGAAATAACCATCACAAATATATCAAAGCAGAGCAATAGTGCTAAATTTATAAGGAACCCAGCTAAGCATCAAACAATCGAAATAATCGCCTAGAGTTTTAGAGATATATTGGATATCGATGAACTGTTTGGTGGAAAAGTAATAGTTTGAGAGGTGATTTCTGTCAAATACAATCAATAGTTCTAAAATTGATCAAAGCAGAAACTGTAAAAGCTAACTTGCCAAAGTTATACTTATGATGTCAAATGAGAAATATTCAAATGACAAGAAATATAAAAGTAAGAACAGATCCAACATTCAGTGACTTCTTGCTTCGTGTTGGAAACGAAGAAGAGCATCCAATAAAGATGATTTGGTTCTGATACAAAAAAACACTATTTATAAAGAAGTGTTCGGTAAGATACCATTACATTAGATATATTTAGACTACAATACATAATTATCTATTTAACATAACTGATCATTTGTGTTAGTTCTGTTGATGTCCTTTTATTTTGAATTCACGTATTATGCTTATGTAACAATATTTTTCGATTTTTTTGGACTACAATAACTTCTATGCTAATATTTTTAATATTTAAGATTTTAAAATTAATACAATCTTGTCTATTGAATTCTTATTAAAAATATGTAGGAAGGTTTAATAAAATCAATTTTATAAGAATCCCAATATTGACTTTACCACTCTATAGTATTCAATACAAAAAAAAAAGTAATACTAAACGGACTGCATAAAGCATTAAAATTGAGAAAAAAATTCTCACGATAATATATTAATTATATTATATTTAAAATGCTTTTCTACTCAGATAAATTTTTTTTATTATTAGTTTTTCGTGTAATATAGAAAAATATACCCAACTATTAAAGAAAACTAAGAAAAATTTTAAGAACATAAATGTGTGAGAAAAGAAAGAAAAGAGTTAATAAAAGCCACTACCACTAATGATTCTGCAAACATAAAGAACTAAAAGTGGAATGTCAGATCGATCTTTTTACTCTTTGAAAATAAATTTTTTGGTGGATAAAATTATGATACAGAAAATAAATTATATTTTGTATTAAAATCAAATAATCAAATCTTTCAATTAATTATTTAGCAAGAGAAACTAATTTAATTATTTTTCAAGTTATAAAAAATATTATGGTACATTAATTTATTTCATAAAAAGGGTGTTAGAGATACCAAAAAATAGATCACAGGGTTAAAAAGATTACTATAATATTAAGAAGGTCATACAAGTGTTTGAAGAAACACAATTAAAGCTAAATCCAGGACAAGAATAAGCTTTTAAGACTATATTATAAAAAGTCGATTCTGGTATAGAGAATTATTCTTTGTAGATGCCTCCGGTGGAATCGAAATAATATTCATATGTTATGCATTACTTGCAAATGTCAGATCAAGAGACATGATATTGTTAGCAATAAGAACAAGTGGTGTACCAATAATGATTTTACTATGAGGTCGTACAACTCACTTTAGATTTGATATACCTCTTGAAATAATTGAAATAACCATCACAAATATATCAAAGCAGAGCAATAGTGCTAAATTTATAAGGAAACCAGCTAAGCATCAAACAATCGAAATAATCGCCCAGAGTTTTAGAGATATATTGGATATCGATGAACTGTTTGGTGGAAAAGTAATAGTTTGGGAGGTGATTTCTGTCAAGTACGATTAGTAGTTCTAAAATTGACCAAAGCAGAAACTGTAAAAGTTAACTTGCCAAAGTTATACTTATGATGTCAAATGAGAAATATTCAAATGACAAGAAATATAAAAGTAAGAACAGATCCAACATTCAGTGACTTCTTGTTTCGTGTTGGAAACGAAGAAGAGCATCAAATAAAGATGATTTGGTTCGGATACAAAAAAACACCATTTATAAAGAAGTGTTCGGTAAGATACGATTACATTAGATATATTTAAACTATAATACATAATTATCTATTTAACATCATTTGTGTTAGTTCTGTTGATATCCTTTTATTTTGAATTCACGTATTATGCTAATGTAATAATATTTTCCGGCATTTAGATGATTGTTATAGTATTATATATATAAAATTTCTCTCATTAATTAAATTTTATTGTTCATTCATACAAATAAATACTTAAATTATCATATGTTATTATTAATGTACAACGCACGTTTATAGATACCAGTATTGAAATCGAGGGATACAAGTTAGGCGAGAAGAGAGAGCCAATTAATGCCTATTGCCGAAAGGAGTCGCGCATTGAAATAACTAAAGTGCGCCAACCAAAGATAACATGTGGTTAGAATGGCTATCCCTGCTGGTGTCTTTCCAGGATTAAAGTCAAACTCAAATCTACACTTATATTCAAGTCTTCCCTCTTCTCTCTTGTCCAACAAGAAAGCGCTCAATCGCTTCAACTCCGGAATCCATAAGCTTAAAACCAGAAGATTACACAGCGAGGTGAGGCCTAAAGCTATGTTTTTGGAAAATCCAGTCATGGGGGATTTAATTGCCACTGCATTGTCCGGCGGTATTGCCCTTTCCATGCTTCGATTATGGGAAGAAACAGCAAAGAGAGGAGTCTTTGATCAGGTGGGTCCTTTACTTTTTCACTTTTAAGGTTGGGATTATTCTCACTGAATATCAGTTCGAAAAGTTACCCCAATCTAACTCAGCTTTTTCTAATCGGATTAATTCTGATTTAGAGTCAAACCGAGTAAGGTTGTTTTAATTCTTAGCCTGAGAAGAGTAATCTTTATTGACTGTTTAAAACTTTGATAATGTTTAGTTGTAAATTTTGATATGGCCTAAATGCACATGAATTTCTCCTGGGTTGTGGTTGAATTCTTCAATTTCGAAACTGCAACTTATGAATACTGTAGGAAGCAGCAAAGGCGGCTTATTTTCTTTGATTTCTTTCTCATATGTTAGATGCCAGAGTTATCCACTCTGTGAATTCTCTATTCGCCAAATGTAAATACTGACGTGACGGTACCCAAGAGGTAAGTCTTATTGAGCTTTATGCGGGAGGCAAGTATATCTAAAAGAAAAATAGTTGAGTGAATCTGCTTGTCTTTACAATGCTCCTTATAAAAATTATGGTCTTAGCTTGTTGGTGCAAAGTTAGAGGGTTTCCTGTAAATTCATGTTAGCTCTCTTGTTACTTAAGTAAATTGATCTTTTTTCCCTTTTTATTTCTGTCAAAGACAGCTTTTGAACAGCAAGTTAAATTACTGACAACGCTAACCGGTGCTATCAATTTGTTGATTTTGTGCCGTTGACATGTTTCAGCATTATAATGGTATTCGACTTGGTGAGAATTTTACCAGGGACATCACATGATAGAACTGACTTCATCACTTGAGTGGCCATCTTTGATAAATTGTGACTCTACTAACTCGAGAAAGTTTAGAATACTACTATTGGGTGCGAGGAGTTGTTTGTTTGTCAAAGTGTCCTGGGTTTCATTGCATTCTGTTAAGCTTATGATGGATCCTAAATGTGAAAGCTAATTCTCTCGTGCTAAGTACAGCAATGAAATAGCTTAGCTTTTCTGAATTTAATGTTGCAAAATATGCACTATGTTCATATATGGTGTATGTTAAGTACCTGATATCAGAACGAAAGTGACAGGGTCTTATATTGTCTACTACTGCTAGTCTTGTGTGCATTTACTGCCATACAGATGTCTTGATTATCCGGCGTCGACCAAGTTTATATAACTTTCCACTAGTCATCAGATTTATTTCTTTTTTGATGACCCGAAAATCCGTCTGGAGCCAGCCCTTAGGACATACATCAGTCTTCGAAACTCGGGATAATGGGCCTGCTCCTCTACACATCTCCACTCAAACGTTAGGCGTAGTTCGCATGGCGCAAGGCTCAAACCTGTGACCTAAGTAACAAGTGCCTCAACCTTTGCTACTTGAACTAAGCCCTGGGCCAAGTCTAATCATCAGAAATTATTCCAAGCTTGTATGCTTCTGGTAGTTAGCCGTAATCTCTGTAATGATTATAAGATGAAACAATACTGTGATGAGGATCTTCTTAATATATTTATGATGTTAGCCCAAAAACTATATTGGTTTTGCAGTGTTACAAAGTCTATGTTGTCTCCGTTAATGATTCTTTAAAATATTATCCGGCTTTAACCAATACAATCGGACAATACTTGATCTCAAATAGATTTATTGCATTCTGCTGTCTTGTTTTCTTCTATTTACCAATATAACTGGTTCGTCTGTATCCCTTGAATGGAAGAGAAGCATACAATGTGTATTTACTTAGTTGAATATAATTTCCCCTTCTTCTTTCATGTTTCCTACTTTCTCATTTCAAGATTCTAATTCTGTTAGAGTTCCAGATTTGGGATTAGTTTGTCCTTTTGTTTTTCAAGACCATGTTAGATGAAATAGCCCCAACTTATGCTTATAGTTGGATTCCTTCATCTTATGGAAATAGTAACTACCTGTTCAGTTTAATGATGTTCAGTAAGGCCTTTGTACTGTATTTTCTTAATTCTTCAATTTTTATATTACAGAAAACAAATAGAAAGCTTGTCCATATTAGCATTGGGCTGGTCTTCATGCTCTGCTGGCCAATGTTCAGGTACCTTTTTTCAACCTACGCATGAAGCCTGCCTTTCATTCATTTAGTTCCTAATTTTTTTCGTGATTTGGCATTGTTTGTTTTTCCAGCTCTGGTCGCCAGGGAGCAATTCTAGCATCTCTTATTCCTGGTCTCAACATAATAAAAATGCTTCTTTTGGGACTAGGATTATGGAAGGATGATGCGACTGTCAAGTCTATGAGCCGATTTGGAGACCACAGGTTTAGTAATTTGAAGAATATTTACAGCTTCTACCAAACAGTTTCATTAAACCATCTCTTGTTACAAAACTTAGCTATTACTAACAATAACAAGCTGTCACACAGCCAAAAACTGGTTCAGTTGAGGATGAGGTTGCTATCCAAATTTATTTAGGGTCATCCATCTCTTCATTCCTCAATTTTTTTTTCTCCACTTCATTTCACTAATGGCAACCTGGTATTCGTTAATTTCATTAAGCTGCAATCTATGAGTAATATGATGCTGCCAACATCTGTGAAAAATTGAACATGTTGACAATATTTATGCTTAAAAGTCTACCATCTCTTACATCATAACTAAATGATGGGGAAGAGAATTTTCTGAAAACATGCGACAGCGCCAAATATGGCACTAGAGGCTAAGCGTAATTGCCTGGCAATCCCCATTTTCCTTCACTTGTATGTGGTCCTAATTAAGCTAAGGATTACTTTTTTTGTCCGTCTATTACCTTTTCTTCTTTGTTAAGCAAATTAATTGGCAACTTATAGTGTGGTTGGCATGTCTGGTACATTAGGGAGCTTCTCAAGGGACCGTTGTACTATGCCTTTACAATCACTTTGGCTTGTGCTGTATATTGGAGATATTCTCCTATTGCAATTGGACTAATTTGCAACCTTTGTGCTGGTGATGGTATGCAATGCTGAGGCAACATAATTCTACTCTCTCTCTCTCCCAAATCCTAACTGTTCAACTTATTAAGTTGGAACGGTTAGGCGCCCTTCCTGATTGTCTGGCAAGGTCTTAATAATAAATAATAAAAAAGATACCGTTTTCCTGCTCCAGGTATAGCTGACATTGTTGGCAGGAGGTTTGGAAAACAGAAACTCCCGTACAATAAAAACAAATCATTTGCTGGTAGTATTGCGATGGCGTCTGCTGGTTTCTTAGCATCCATTGGGTAATAGAAGCTTCCTTGTTATCGTGCTACTTAACCGCTGCAACTTGTTTACTGATTTACATGTTTTGCTACAGATACTTGCACTATTTCTCCTTGTTTGGGTATATTCAGGAGAGCTCCCACACGGTTTTCGGCTTCTTGTTTGTGTCGCTTGCTGCAGCACTGGTAGAATCCCATCCTATAAGCACCGAACTTGATGACAACTTAACGGTTCCCTTAACCTCAATGCTGGTGGGCAGTCTTGTTCTATGATATCTGACTGTATCCTTATATGGATGGACTTTCAAACTTACAAATACTAACTGAAAATGGAAATTTTGTTAGTCTAACCCTGGATTGTGTATCAGTAGTCCTGGTCAATGTATAAGCCACTGCAATACATAATCTTGCTACTTTCTGTTGTTGTTACTACTTATTAAAAAACACAGAGAAAGTATACTAAGTGTATTTGCTTATGAAACAATTCTTGAAATCCTTATATTTGTCAAAAACGTGTTTTTTTTTTTTATATGGCTTTTGGGGTGTCCCTTCTTGTCTATATTTTCATTAATGTGGTGCTTATGCTTTCCTTAGTCGAGGGTCTATTGGAAACAACTTCTCTATCTTCACAAGGTAGGGGTAAGGTTTGTGTACATACTATCCTTCTCAGACCCCGCAGTGTGGGATTGTACTGGCTATGTTGTCAAAAACGTATTTTTGTTTTCGTTTTTCCAAGAGCTTTTTGCACAAATGTTTTCAAAAAGTTGTTTATGTGAAAGTGGATTAAGGATTTTTCCCTTTTCTTTTAATTGTTCTTTCACGTTGTTTTATAATTTTTTGTTGGGGAGGGTCCTGAGGCCCCCCCCCCCCCC